ACTCTTTTTCTCTTCAGTGGTGTTTTTAAGCCATTCATGTTCTGCGTAATTATTGAGAGGCTAGGCTTTATTGCTATAATTTTGTTTAGTACTTTTTGGTGGTGTGGTTACTTCAGGCCATCCTACTTTCTGTGGCACCTCTGTAAGAAGGACAGCTCTCAGTGTTTTCTGCAATGCTGGTCTTATTTTTCAAACTACCTTGGTTTTTACTTTTCTGAGAATATCTTGATCTCTCTTTCATATTTGATGAACATTTTTGCTGAGTACCATATTCTTGATTGACAGTTATATTCTTTAAATGTCTTATATATGTCATTCCACTGTCTTCTTGCTTGTATGATTTCGGCTGAGAAATCGACACTTACTTTTATTTGCTCTCCCTTATAGGTTACTTGCTGCTTTCAGAATTCTCTGCTTATTTTGATTCTTGCAAATTTGACTGTTCTATACCTTGGTTTTTCTTTTTGGGGTCTGTTCTATATACTGTTCGCTCAGTTTCTTGAATATATATTCTCTCATTCTTCATTCTACCTGGAAACTTATCTTGTAGTAACACTTCCACAACTTTCTTGATGCCTTTACCTGCTTCTTCCTATTTTTGGAATCCGATTATGCTCATACTATTCCTCTTGATGGTGTCCCGCATTATTCTCAGGCTTTCTTCTTTTCTCTTCCTGTTTGATTCTGCTTTTTCATCTAGCAGATCACTGGTGACAGTTCTGTTTTGCTGGTTCTGTATTTCATCTCTGCGACTCTTAATATGTCCCTCCAAAATGTTGACACCATCTGAAACATTGGTCTTCATATTCTGCATTGTGTTTTCTTGTTTCCCCAGAGCATATATTGCTTTCAGCACCCTAGAGTTTTCAGATCTTTCAGGTTGTGAGTTTTGGGGTTTTTTCATTTCTGCCTCATTCAAATTTTCATTTTTAATTCTCTGAATCAGTATTATGTTTCTCTGTCAGAAACTTTGTGGAAGATTTAATTGTTACAATTTTATATAAACTCTTCATGTGAGGCTGCTTCCTTTGTATTGTCAATAAGTGCCTTCAAGGCTTCAGTACCTATTCTGTGTCTCTTACATGCTTGCAAACCCTTCAGATATGATATATGTTTGTTGTTTTGGTGTTTCTTACTATCTGTTTTCTATCTATCATACATGTAGTGACCCACATGTTCTGGTTCTGGGGGTTATTGGTTAATTTCTATCCCACTTTTAGCTTATCCTGCCATCTGGTGGGCATCTGAGTAACTGCATAAATCTGAAGGACTAGGCGTCTGTCCAGTCCAGAACCAGCAGATCATTCAGGGTATTCATGTTACACAAATTGGCATACTGTTAAGGAGAGACTCGTTCTTGCATAAAGACATCATGTTTGGAAAGATAGAGGATCAGTGTGGGAGAGGAAGACCCTGAAAAAATATGGATCAACACAGTGATCATCAGTGAGCTCAAGTACTTCAGAGATGGTGAGAACACAACGGGGTAGAACAAGATTCAGCACCATTGTTCATAGGGTTGCAGTGCATCATGTTTAGTTTAAGAGCATCTAACTAACAGTTTTCATAGTCCATAGGGAGTTGCACTGCTAATCCAAAAGCGATACTCTCTGGCGGCTTGAATCTATCTGTGGGCTTTGTAGGAGGAAGCAGGGCAATCTCCTCCTGTGCAAGAGTCAGTTCTGACTCAACAGCAACGAGAGAGAGGGACTTATTCAAGGGACCTCAGGTGGTATAGTCTGTAAAGAGTTGGACTTCTGAGTTAAAGGTGAGGTCTGGCTGGCAGGTCACATCTGCCAGCATCTCTGAGTGAGGATGAGCAAGCCCCTCAGGGATTACAGCCTCAGAAACCCAGAGGCAGGTGAGCTCATGGTGAGCTATGAGCTGATGGCATGGCGTTGAAAGAGAGTAGTTAGTTGTATCAAAAGTCAAATTACCTAAAAAATTACTTTCATTTTAAAACAAAATGCCTTCCACTCCCCCAAACATATGATTTCAACAAAAAGAAGGAAAAAAATTAAAGCAGGAAATTATTCAGTCCGTAAAGTGTTTTAAAGGCTTTTCCCACACCTGGGCAAAGATCTAATCAATTGGCCTGCATTATTTGCTAATTGGCTGAGATATTTGTAGATGAATAAAGAAATGCTCATTTTTAACATACCTGCAAATCAATCTCTGCAGTAGGAATTTAACAATGTATTATATATTAGGGAGTGCTGGTGGCCTAGAGGCAAGAAGCTGCACTGTAGAAAATAAACGTGGTAAGAAGCTGTGTTGCAATCCTGAAGGCATGCAGTTCTAATCCCACCATTTGCTCCATGGGAGAAGGATGGGCATTCTCCCCCTGTGCGATTAACTGCTTTTGAAAACCCAGTGGAGGGTGAGCTGTGGATCAGTTCCAACTTGATGGTACACAACAACAACAATAACTCTATTTCTAAGGCAGAAATAAGTTGAAAATGATTTTTAAATAGTTTAGAAAAAAATCCAAAAAAGTTCTAGTGGCCTCATAGGTAAGGACTTGCCTTGCTAACCTGAAGACAGGAAGTTAGAATCTTCCAGTTGCTCTGAGGGAGAAAGATGGACACACTCTTCCTGTGGGATTTACAGCCTCTGAAAAACTTGGTGGAAGGTCTGCTATGAGTCAGTTAAAACTAGGGTTAGTTATGAGTCATTTCTAACTCTGGCAATGATTAAAGTTGTTGAGCATAAAATAGTTAATTCTCAAAATATGTAACTGTGCTCCTTTACATAACTGACACAGATATTATGAAACTCATGTAGAAAATGGGAATTACAATGAGTTATAAGGACTTCAGAAGGAACTTTCCACACTATTGCAAAGCCAGGAATAGTAATAATGCCCCAAAGAGCTTCCTTGGGTGGAACATTTCTCTGCAAGGGGACTGTGCTTTCTACATATTTCGTATCATCTGTGGTGGAGTTGTATCGTCACAACCAACCCCTATCTGAGCCTCTAGTGGATTTTCAGAGGCAGTAAATCACACAAGAGAAGACTTGCCATACTTCTCCTGTGGAGCAGTTGGTGGGTTCCAGCAACTCATCTCTGTGTTGGCAATGCAATTCCTTACCCTAAGCCAGCAGAGCTCCCTTGTTACCTACCGTGCTGTGTGCCGGCGAGCTGGAACCAACTCATGGCTGACCCTCCAGCAGATTTTAAGAGGCAGTAAATAGCATGGGAGGAGATTTCCCATCCTTCTACATTGGAACTGCTGGTGGATTTGAAACACCTTTGAAGTTGCAAAACCTTTGAGATTGCAAAGCTTTGAATTTGCAACACAGTTTCTTAACTGGTTTATATAAATCCTCTTTAACCAAACTAATTCTTGCTGATTTCAAACTCCATGTGTCTGAGGGTAGAGCTGTGTTCTGTAAGATTCTCATGGTTCATTTTTTGAAAATCCTTATTTTAAGATGCTTCTGTATAGACGTGAACTCCTGACCTTCTTTTCGCAGCTGAGATCATTACCCATTTACATTGTTCAGGTACTTCACATTCTTCTGTTGAGCAGATTCCTACTCAGAGGTGAGGAAATGTAAAAATAGAAAGGTCACTTCATCTGGTTTTACATCTCATTAGAAGAGCAAAGCAAGGCTTTTCTTTGGGAGTTCACCTCTTCCTTCCTCCACTGTGTTCTGAACTTCATGTTTTTACTCGGGGGCGGGGGGTGGGGGAGCTCTCTCCATGGAGGAGGAGAACAGGAAGGAGCTGTCAGTCACATGACCCCCATTTTAAAACAACACAATGCCACTGTCCTCATGTCCTCTGCTCTGGATGTTCCCAAGACTTCTCATTGACTAAATACTATATCCTGGAGTAACTTGGGCTGGTGTACAAATTTCCTGGAGCCCTTGATTTTTGCAAAGTGTGTTTTACCACATCTTGGGTTTTTTTTTTTTTTTAACTACCTGGTTAGCATGACTTGACCACAGTGTTTCTTTTCATCCTGGAAGATAACTGAGATACTTGACTCATATGAAAATGGATGATTTGATTTCTGTTTGCTCCCTGATGAGGCCAACTTATTATACCTCTAATCACCCACTTTCCTGCACAGTGCAGCCTCTGTAATTGCCTCTCTCTTTGTGAAGCCTCCATAGCGACCACTCACACCCTGTTGCCTCTCCCTTCATACTGCTCTGCATGGTGCTCTGAAGCTGGCTTTTTTTAAACATCCCTATTATTTGTCACTTCTTGTAAAATGGGACCTTGGGATAAGGACAGATCTTTCTTTATGAGGTTTGTTTTATCTTTCTATATTCAACCTTATTTTTGACATGAAATATAAAGACTTTAGATATAAACCTTTCTAGTTGATAGATATGTCTTTGTCCTTTGGAACAAGTACTTTGAAAAGATGATGCACTTAAAGCAGAAGACAACAAACAAGGATGCAGTGGCTTTCACTGGAACACAGCCACGTCTATTTGTGTATGTATTATTGTCCATGTCTGCTTTGGTGTCATGACAAATGAGTTGAGTATCTGGGTGAAACATTAACTGACTTGCCAAGTTTAAAGTATTTACTAACTCGCCTTTTATGTTGACTGTGATTTAAAAACTTGGATGCATCCTTTTGAGCCTAATGGCTAAAAGCTACTGTTTTATTACAAAGAGTTTCCCCCAATCCCTTTCTTTTCTTAGCTACCTGGTTATTTCACTCATTGCTTTAACTTTTCCATAACTACTCTGATAAACCATGTTGAAAATTTTGTTCCTTCAAAAATAACGTTCCTACTATTTATAGAAGCTCCCTTACTCGATGCTTTAATCAATATCACTTAGTGAAATGTGGTATATCTTGAGTGGTGCTTCCCTTTGAAGTGCCCTAACAGTTCCATCCAGAAAGTCCTCACATCACTGAAGAGATTCATGTTCTCTTTTTACTCTTCTGTTTTACAGGACTAAATGAAGCTGTGTTTCATAGAAGCAGACTCTCGCTGACATTTTAAGTGACTCCTTGAGTCTTCATGCAGCTATGGATCTGGATAAAACATCTGTCTGGGGCTCATTAAAGCAGCGGACCAGGCCTTTGTTAATCAACTTGAGCAAGAAAAAGATGAAAAAGAGCACACACAAGCCCCTAGACCTACAGGCAGCTCACCATCTGGACCGCCGCCTGAGCCTCTCTGTTCCTGACATCCTGGAAGCTGAGACTCTGCCCTATTCTGGACCCCAGTCATCCTACACTTCGGTACCCAATAGCCTGTCGACCGCAGGCATCTTTCTGAAGAGTAGCAGTAGCTCCCTGAAGCAGTCTGAAGAAGAACTGGGCTGGAGCCAGGAGGAAGCTGGCCACCTGCATGGGGTGGATATGGACTCAGAGGAAACTTTCGCCTCCCCTGCTGCAGATAGGAGGGCATCCAGTAATGGTGTGTTTGATCTTCTCCAGAAAAACCCCCTTGGAAGTGATGCATCCGAAGATCTGGAGGTGAGACCAGGGCCGTACACTCTTAGGAATCTTTCTTCTTCTTTCTTTTCAGTGTCCTTGGAAGATTTGGTTAAAAGTTATTTCTGTGGTCTGCTCAGATGGGAGAAATGTCATTTATAAGAATTTAAATTAATGCAATATCGATTGAACCCAGTGTTCCCATTACTTTTGGGATTGACCTCTACGTATTTTAAAACTATCAAAAATAACCTATCTAGGATACTTTAAGGCTTTAAAAGCTCTATTGGATGAGCTTTGTTTTTTCCATTTCCTGGCAAAGGAAAGAAGTACATGACTTTTTCCATAACTTTTGCTTTGAGTGTGTGGGCAGTTCTCTCTAACTGTTGTATCCCGCATCATTGTGCATTCCTGCCTGTAGACAACAAAGTATATACATATTCGTGAGAAAAGTGTGTCCTTTTTGACCCAAAGGTTTCGGTATCTTCCACTTCTCATGTGCGAACTCATACACACGTGCACACTCATGTGCAGACAACTTGTCAACATGTTAGAAAATAACCAAAGCGGAGTTGGCATTATTGGAGGAGTTTTATATAGGGATACAGTCCTGTTTCTTAAAAAAACACATGGCCTCCATACAGGCTATGAACAGTGGAACTTTCCAAGAGAAGAATAGGGAATAGACTAGATCAGATTGGCTAATCATGACACAATTCATGGAACCATGCCCCATTAAGATAATTTGGCATCAGGTTGCGAGGGGGTTTTCTGGCTCTGGGGAGTGTGAGCATTCATTTGTATAATCTTCAAGTGTAGTCCAGAGGAGGAGATTTTAAAATAATAAAGGTACCACAATTATCCTGGGAATTTGGAAGGCTTATGTGACATTTCAGTGTAAGTTACATAACATCTCATCAGATTTAGCAAAGTCTTCATCACAGTAAAGACTGGCAAAGATTTAATTGTATCTATCTGACTTATGTTTGACCAGAATCCTAAAAAAAAAAAGAAAATAAATAAATAAAATAAATCCCCAAAATAAAATAAATAACATAAGTGTTTAAGAAACAAAATGGGTTCTTGTCAATTCTGTGATTTGAACAAAACTTGTGTTTTAATTAGACAAAACAGCCAAATAATGAGGTGATAAATCCTAAAATAAATTGAGGAATTTAAATTGAACTAAAATTTAGTTACTAAAGTACTAAAATTATTATTTTGTTGATGACAGATGTTGTTTGTTGATTGTTATTTCTGTTTCCTGGACTAGATCTAAAAAAGCCTAAAACACGCCAAGTCCATCAAGAACAGATGCCTCTAGACAATTTGATTTTTCTGTAACCTGGCTACTTTACAAACAAATAAAAATCTCCAAAACTCCCTTTTTAAAAAAAAAATCCAAAGAAGAAGTGAATACATCTGTCCTGGAAGAAAAGCAGTCAGAAGGCTGCTTAGAGGTGACAGTAGAGATACTTCATCTCAAGTATTTTATACATGGTGTTTGTTGTTGTTATGTGCCGTCAAGTCGCTTGCGACTCATAGCGACCCTATGTAAAACAGCCCTAAACCCTGCTCTGTCCTGTGCCAATGGCACTGCCTCTGACATACCCATCCCGATTACCCCAGTCACTGAATCAATCCACCTCATAGAGGATCTTCCCCTCCTGCGCTGTCCCTCCACCTTCCCAAGCATAATGTCCCTCTCCAAGGACCGGTCCCTCCTTACAACATGTCCAAAGTATGTCAGACGAAGCCCCAGAATCCTTGCCTCCAAAGGTCCATGGTACATTCAATACTCTTCTCCAGCACCACAGCTCAAAGGCATCAGTTCTCCTTCTGTCCTCCCTAGTCATTGTCCAACTCTCTGATGCATAACAAGTGATTGCAAAGACCATGGCCTGTATCAGATGCACCTTAGTCTCCAGAGTGACACCATTGCTCTCCAGTACTTTGGAGAGGTCCCTAACAGCAGACTTTCCCATGGCAATGCGCCTTTTAATTTCCTGCCTGCTGGTGCCAAGACTGTTGACTATGGAGCCAAGCAAACTAAAGCTGTGTACAATCTCAATCTCTTCACCATCCGTCCTGATGCTGCCAATTGGTCCAGTGGTGAGAATCTTTGTCTTCTTGACATTTAGCCTCAATCCATATTGAGGAGCTATTCCCTGATGGAGGATGCCATGCTTAGTGAAGAGAAAGGTCAGGAAGAAAATAAAAAAAGTAAAGAATGACCTTGGCAAGGTGGATTGTCACAGTAGCTGTAGCAGTGGAACCCAGAGCGATTCTGAGGACCCCGCAGAACCAAGCAGTGTTTCATTGTTGTGTACAGGGCTGCTTTAAGCCAGATCAGGCGAGTAGCAGCCTGTAATAACTGTCGTGGAGGAGAATCTTTGGCTTTGTTTTCTTTTCTTCAGAGTACAAGCTAGAGATTGGTATGAGTTTTTTCTTCCATGATTGTGATTCCATTTGTTCACTCAGTGGTGTATTTGCAGGAAATGGAGGGGGCAGGCACTGCAGTGGCCTTAATCCCACTCCTGGTATCACTTGTGGTCAGGAGTCCCGTTTTATCGAAGCCCTTTTAGCCTGCTCCATCCATAATGAGTGGGCCTCTTGCACTAACTGTGTAAGTATCTGACTTTATCATATGGGCAGTTGTGAACTATTCTTACCTCCTCCACTAGACTATACATTTGAAATGTGTTTTTGGTTGGAGGAGACATATTTAATTTGTCTTTATTTTTTAAGGACCTAGCTCAGTGCTAGTACATACCTGAACCTCGACAAATGTCTCTATAATATGAAAATCCAAGATAGAAATGTGTGTATCCAGGGAACAAGAGTTTTTGGTATGACCGTTACCATGAATTCTCTTCAGTTTATCATTTAATTAAAGTAGACCCTCTCCCCTAAATATTAGCATTATAATTTACATAAAACACTCTTTGAAGCTTACTGAAAACATAGAGATTTCCAAGTAGTGGAATTTTCAGATCATGTCAGTACAAATTGTAAATCTCAATTTATTGTCTTTGTTTTTGAGTTTGTTTCCCCCCCCCCTCAAAAATGAAACCAGAAGTCTGCTAGTTCTGTAATTAGTTCATCTGTACTTTGGAGCTGGTCCATTTGCTTCTTTCTAGTGAATAGCCGATTACTTTATATAACTTCTACACAGAGGAAGAAGAAATGAGGAAGAATGAATTGATGCTTAACCGACACCATCATTCAAGGACATGGAGATGTTTGCCAGGTGTCAAGAGTATACCAAGAGTATAGCTGATATCATTTGTGCAGTTTCAAAGGGGGAAAAGGAAAAGAACATTTGTGATCTGAGGCAAACCCCCTAGCTCTCACCTGATTTTGCTCAGGTTGCCAACCAGTGTTGTCTTGGTTACAGAGATAGCCTGCAGTAATAGTACATCACCCAGATGATGTTGTGGCTGCCTGTTTCTCCAGGCATCTTCTAGTTCTGCCCACCTCAGTGAAGGCAGGGGAAGCATTTGCCTGTACAATTCCATTTCTTATGGGAATTGGAACAACAGGTCCTTACCTCACTCTAATGGGAACTGGTAGCTCAGAGGTTTAAACACTGTGTTGTTGTCAAAATATTGGCAGTTTGAGTCCACCCAGTAGATCTGTGGGAGGAAAGAGATGGGGATATTTACCTGTCAAGATTATAAACTAGACAGTTCTTTGGGACTTCTCTTCTCTGTCAGATGAGACGACTATGGATAAGAAATCCATTCAGTGAACAAGCAACCACATATTAGGTGGTTCTGATGAGACAAACAGTTTGCACTTGATTGATGGTTTGATTTAAGTCATTTGCTATGAATCGGAGAGCTGGACAATGAATACGGATGATGGAAGAAAATGTGATGCATTTGTGGTGTTGGCAAAGAGTACTGAATATCCCATTCACTGCCAAAGGAACAAACACAGATGTCTTGGGGAAAGTGCAGCTAGATTGCTCCTGGGATGCAAAGATGCTGTGATTTTGGCTCATATATTTTGAGCATGTTTCTAGGAGAAGCTATTCCTTGGCAAGGGATATCACACTTGGAAAGGTCAAGAGTAGAGAAGGAGAGGAAGACCCTCGATGAGATGGATCGACACAGTGACTGCAACAATGGGCTTACATGTGTCAAAGATTGTGAGGGTGGTGCACCTCGAACAGGGTTCAGGATGTTCCTAGGATTGCTGTGAGTCACACTCAACTCCATGGTACCTTACACTACAACAACAACATGAGTTCTCATTGACTTGACAATCACAACTTTTTAACATTTGGACTTTAACCTCATTCTGCTTTTCATAGATACCCAGGGTTGGTTGGAGGTGGTTGTCATTGTTGTTATGGCCGAGGCCCTTTGTACAGTAGTTCTGAACTCTGCTCTATCCTGCACCAGTCTAACTGTCTCCTTTGCTAATCAGGAGACCGGGTGGTACCTGGCTGAATACTTCCATCCAGGATTCTGTATAGGTGTCCTGATCAAAAGGGGGAAAATATAACAGAATTTCAAAAGCTGGATAAATTCCTGAAACTCTATCTCTTAGTGATAATCTTTAAACCTTAAATTGAAAGTAGACTCTGAAGTCTTCATAACATCAAATAGTTGATTATCATAACTAGTTTGCTCTGAACATGCCTCTTATTAGATTTATCTCTGTGGGATCAACTTGACAATAGTAAATTTAAAGTTTGCCTAAGAACCTTAGGGATAGGGAGTGTATGTTAATAGGAGAAGAAGTTAGAAAAGAATGGTAATAGTGGTTACACAGCATGAAGAGTATCAAACAATGCCACTGAGTCATACATGTAGGAAGTGTTGAATTGATGTGTATTTTTGTGCATATTCTTAACAAAAACAACAAAATAGGTAAAATCAAAGTTTTAAAAAATAAATCCCCTTTTATTAATGGCAGCAGTCAGATTTGTGTGAGAGATAACTAGCCTCATACAAATTTCTATGCGAGGATTTTAAAGCTATGTTTCTGAATGCATCTTACTAGAGAGTTTTGTCAAATTTCTATGGATTAGC